CACCCAATCAATCCATCCAAACCCGCCCGCCTGCCCAACCGCTTTCGCACCCGCCCGCATACCCGCACTCTCATCTAACCATCATTAAAGAATAAATACGACATCGTTTGGCGTCTACTTGAGAGGTGATTGAAGCAGGCTTTTAAATCTTTGACATTTACCTTCCGAGTCTCAGTCCGGAGGCGACGGTGGGGCCACGACTACCCCCACACTACACCTGGCACCCCCACACTACACCTGGCACCCCCACACTACACCTGGCACCCCCACACTACACCTGGCACCCCCCACACCACACCTGGCACCCCCCACACCACACCTGGCACCCCCACACCACACCTGGCACCCCCCACACTACACCTGGCACCCCCCACACTACACCTGGCACCACCACACCACACCTGGCACCCCCCACACTACACCAGGCACCCCCCACACTACACCTGGCACCCCCCCCCACACTACACCTGGCACCCCCACACTACACCTGGCACCCCCACACTACACCTGGCACCCCCACACTACACCTGGCACCCCCCACACTACACCTGGCACCCCCCACACTACACCTGGCACCCCCACACCACACCTGGCACCCCCACACTACACCTGGCACCCCCCACACTACACCTGGCACCCCCACACTACACCTGGCACCCCCACACTACACCTGGCACCCCCACACCACACCTGGCACCCCCACACTACACCTGGCACCCCCACACTACACCTGGCACCCCCACACCACACCTGGCACCCCCACACTACACCTGGCACCCCCACATTACACCTGGCACCCCCACACTACACCTGGCACCCCCACACTACACCTGGCACCCCCACACTACACCTGGCACCCCCACCACACACCCACACCACACCTGGCACCCCCCACACTACACCTGGCACCCCCACACCACACCTGGCACCCCCACACTACACCTGGCACCCCCACATTACACCTGGCACCCCCACACTACACCTGGCACCCCCACACTACACCTGGCACCCCCACACTACACCTGGCACCCCCACACCACACCTGGCACCCCCCACACTACACCTGGCACCCCCACACTACACCTGGCACCCCCACACTACACCTGGCACCCCCACACTACACCTGGCACCCCCACACCACACCTGGCACCCCCCACACTACACCTGGCACCCCCACACTACACCTGGCACCCCCACACTACACCTGGCACCTCCACACCACACCTGGCACCCCCCACACTACACCTGGCACCCCCACACTACACCTGGCACCCCCACACTACACCTGGCACCCCCACACTACACCTGGCACCACCACACCACACCTGGCACCCCCACACTACACCAGGCACCCCCCCACACTACACCTGGCACCCCCCACACTACACCTGGCACCCCCACGCTACACCTGGCACCGACCACACTACACCTGGCACCCCCACACCACACCTGGCACCCCCACACTACACCTGGCACCCCCACACTACACCTGGCACCCCCACACTACACCTGGCACCCCCACACTACACCTGGCACCCCCACACCACACCTGGCACCCCCACACTACACCTGGCACCCCCACACCACACCTGGCACCCCCACACTACACCTGGCACCCACCACACTACACCTGGCACCCCCACACTACACCTGGTACCCCCACACTACACCTGGCACCCCCACACTACACCTGGCACCACCACACCACACCTGGCACCCCCCACACTACACCAGGCACCCCCCCCCACACTACACCTGGCACCCCCCCACACTACACCTGGCACCCCCACACTACACCTGGCACCCCCACACTACACCTGGCACCCCCACACTACACCTGGCACCCCCACACTACACCTGGCACCCCCACACCACACCTGGCACCCCCAACACTACACCTGGCACCCCCCACACCACACCTGGCACCCCCAACACTACACCTGGCACCCCCCACACTACACCTGGCACCCCCCACACCACACCTGGCACCCCCCACACTACACCTGGCACCCCCCACACCACACCTGGCACCCCCAACACTACACCTGGCACCCCCCACACTACACCTGGCACCCCCAACACTACACCTGGCACCCCCCACACCACACCTGGCACCCCCAACACTACACCTGGCACCCCCCCACACCACACCTAGAGAGATCGAATTAGAGATCTCGTACACTAATACTGATGTAATATCAAATAAAGCAGATGAACCCGAAGAAGAAGGCGAGTACACAAAACTTTGATGTAATAGCAACAGTAGAAACTAAAATAAACTGGAATGATCATTATTGAAATATTCCAGGATTGAGAATCGTGTAAAACTCATCGCTAGTCTTCACCCATCCTGGCTGGACAGCTCTGTAAATCAGAGCCTTTAATCTTGGGAGACGTGATCAAGCCTTGGGAGACGTCAGCAGCCTTAGTAGACCTCCATCAGTCTCATGAGACTATGGAGTTGCGCTCTGGTTGTCGGTCTGGAGTGGCCTCTTCAGGGCGCAAAGCCAGGGTAGGTTGATACGGAGGAGAAGCTGTTACCCATGCAGCCTTACTGTCATGTATAAGAGTCTCAAGTTTCCTCACTTTGCCATCCCTAATCGTGAACAACCATAAGGCAGGAACTCCAACACAAGGCACTCAACCAAGAGCCTCGACCTCACTGTCTTATTCTCAAGAACATCCGCCTTTTCAGCATTCTCTTAATTAGATTCTCATAAAATCAAGTCAATCGACCATATGAAAGCTCTTCTTTTACTTAGTTGGTAACAGTTATACCCTGTAATACAGTGTTATCGTATCGGCTCACAACCGAATGGCCCCGTGTTCGATTCTCGGGCAGGACGAGACGTTTGGGTACGTTTCCCTACACCTGATGCAACTGTTCACCTAGAAGTAAATAGGTACACAGTAGGGGTAGAAATTACCCTAAGCTACTCTGTCATTAAACTACAGATGCAGTTTAATGCTGATAAATGTAAAGTTCTGAGGTTAGGTAATGATGATAGAGTTACAAGATACGAGCTAGATGGTGTTGTGATTGCGAAGTCGGATTGCGAAAGGGATCTGGGAGTTATGATTAGTAAGAATTTAAAACAAAAGGATCAATGCATAAATGTTCGTAATAAGGCAAATCGGACACTTGGATTTATTAATCGCAGCGTTAGTAACAAGACACCTGGTGTGGTTCTCAAGCTATATCTTGCTCTAGTTAGGCCCCATTTAGATTATGCAGTTCAGTTTTGGTCGCCATATTATAGAATGGATATAAATTCACTTGAACGTGTCCAGCGTAGGATGACTAAGTTAATTCCCCAAATTAGAAATCTTTCATATGAAGAAAGATTAACAAAGCTTAAGTTGCATTCACTGGAAAGGCGAAGAGTTAGGGGTGACATGATAGAGGTTTACAAGTGGATGAATGGACATAACCGGGGGGATATTAATAGGGTATTAAAAGTATCAACACAGGACAGAACACGAAACAATGGATATAAATTGGATAAGTTTAGATTTAGGAAAGACTTGGGTAAATACTGGTTCAGTAACAGGGTTGTTGATTTGTGGAACGAATTGCCGCGTAACATTGTGGAGGTGGGGTCCCTCGATTGTTTCAAGCACGGGTTGGACAAGTATATGAGTGGGATTGGGTGGTTATAGAATAGGAGCTGCCTCGTATGGGCCAATAGGCCTTCTGCAGTTACCTTTGTTCTTATGTTCTTATGTTCTTATGTCCCTTTGACATGCATTTTATGGTCTCAATAAACGTACTTGAACTTGAAATAGATACAGGAGATTTAGTCAACTGTTGTGGATTGTATGCAGGACATACTCAATCGGGCGCTAGCCAAGGATCAGGACTGACTATGATAAAATTATCCTAAATAAAATTGTATCTTAATATTAATTAAAATGTATAATCAATGGACAAAAATAATTATAAAATAGACTAGTCAAAAAAATAGACAAGTCTGGTGTTGAGCTTTAGGCCTATATCAACCTCTGGAGGGTTGGTAAGGCCACCACAAGAGCTTATACTGACCAACCAACAAGTCTAATGTTAATCATTAGTTTTGTCGGGGGACAGGTAGACTGCGTCCTTTATTTATTTATTTATTTATTTATATATATACAAGAAGGTACATTGGGTTTGTGAGAATACATTGGATAGTACAGTATTTACATTCTTGTAAAGCCACTAGTACGCGCAGCGTTTCGGGTTCCTTGACACAGGCTTGTATAGTGGTCCCCCCTCAATGTCGAACTGGACGCAACGCCACGACGCAACATCACAACAGTTGACTAAATCCAGCTTACCTGTTTGCTTCTAGGTGAACAGAGGCATTAAATGACATAAAACTTACCCAACCATATTTTGCCCGACCGGGTATCGAACCTGAGATCCCAGATAGTGAGTCGAGAACAAGACCACTGTATTAGAGGACCTTATATCACTGCTATTTAGCTTAAACAGTAGTCACAGTTAAGAAAGAAAATAAAGAAGAGGCCGAGGTAAAAGGGAAAAAGATTATTATAAAAGCATCCCCATAACATACACTGGATTATTATAAAAGCTAGCCATGTTAAAATCGTTTTCTATGACGTAAACATAATTAGAGAACGGTTACTAGAAATGGGGAAACTAATTCAAACATTAATGCTACCATAATAATACAATAATAATAATAATAATAATAGTTCATATATTCAACATTACAGAGGATGTAATTGCAATAATTACACAGTTGGCATTTAAACATTTCATAAAACCACTAATAACGCGCAGCTTTGAAAGGAATATGTAAATGATTTTCAGTGGTGAAAAATACAAGACATATATCTTAGGACATAACAATTATACACGTATGAACTACCATATCAACAACACGACCCCTGAAGCAAATTAATAAAGAAAATGACCCTGAAAGGAGCACTGAAAGTTACTCTGAAAAATACAGTTGGGATTATTAACACAAAACACTAAGGTAAATCAGACGCACCTCTGAATATTCAGCTGTAGAAATATGAAGTGCGATCACATCTTGACGGCAACGGGGCGAGATCCCTTAATGTGTAGTTATACCCCTAATAAACTTATATCAATGTCTTAAGACTGTACGACGCGCTGGCGGTAAGGTTCTTCTCCAATATGACTGCTGGAGTGGTGTAAGGCTGGAAGGCGAGTCACAGCGCCTCAAGATGCCCGTGGCGGCGAGGACAAGATGGTGTGATGACCGTAAACACCACACACCGGAAGATGAGGAGACGACGACGTTTCAGTCATCACCAAGTCGACATTAACACTACCGGATGGTGTGTTGATGTCGTCAGCTGACCGGCGCTGTGTCTTTGTAGTTAGCGCCTCGTTTTCTATGTTTCATTATCTGGCCCAGAGCCTGATTCACGAAGCAGTTACGCAAGCGCTTACGAACCTGTACATCTTTTCCCAATCTTTGGCGGATTTATTTACAATTATTAATTAGTTAATGAGCTCCGAAGCACCAGGAGGCTGTTTATAATAACAACAACAGTTGATTGGGAAGTTTTCATGCTTGTAAACTGTTTAATAAATGTAATTAAAGGCGTCAAAGATTGAGGAAAGATGTATTCGTTCGAAAGTACTTGCGTAACTGCTTCGTGAATTGAGCCTGGCAAGTGGCGTGAGTTTTATGAATCGCTCAATCGCTTAACCTAATTGTTAGGTTGACTGGAGATATCTAGCCAATGGTTTGGCTCTTGATATAGCGACCACATCTGGACTGGTGCTTCACAGCATGGAGACCTCATGCACCACCAAAATGGATTTTAATCCGAATGAGAAACCCGTACATGCTTATGGAGTGCCCAGAGGACTCTGTCTTAGGACCTTGATTAATTGATGAAAATTAATAATAATAATAATTATAAATGTTCTTCAGGTAAAAGTACATAAATACAAGATGAGTTACAAACAGAATGTTGGATTGATTGATTGATAAAGATTAAGCCATCGAAGAGGTGGCACGGGCATGAATAGCCCGTAAAGAATGTTGGATTTATTGATAGAGCTAGTACATAATATGCCTAAAGCCACTAATACGCACAGCGCTTCCGGCAAAATTAAGCTACCCAAGAGGTGGCACGGGCATGTATAGCCCGCAATCTTAGGACATTGCCGTTTACCATATATGTGGCAAACAAAATGAATAAACATACTGAATAAGCTAGCTATTATTCTTTTGACCATTTATTGTGGGATTCAAGTGATCATTTTGCAAGGCCTCACTATAGTTATCGCTCTCCATTTTGCCACAGAACTTTGTGCATTCATCCTTTGCTAATATTTTAAAACTGTAATATACCGCAATATCATTAACCATTCCACGAATGTAACACTATACATTATCTATTATGTGTAATAAATAATGTATAGTGTTTCCACAGTAATCCGAGAATGAGACAGGTTTGTATTCCTTCTTGATATTTATATTTTAAGTTGATAATGTGCTCACTAAATGAAACAACAACAATTATTATTATTATTAGCTTGCAAATGTACTTAATTTCCTCAGCATTTCTTTGAGGTTAATTCCACTGCTGTGATCCACGGAAAACAGGTAAAAATAAAGTAGACATTTTTTTCTAAATTGTTCGTTTACGCAATTAAAATCTATATTCTTCCATATGTAGTATCGACTATAATTTCTTCACTTCTTTATAATATTTCTACAAAAAAGACAATCACTAAAATGAGTTTCTTAGTGATTTATAAACGAAAAATCCAAATAAGTCAGAAATAATAAACGCATTCTAAGAGGAAGCCTGACGAGGGGATCGGGCTTACTAAGGAGGATCGTGATGCTCCAACCTCCTCGATCTCATCCTCCAATACTTGTGATTTCGCCTACAATTCTAATATTATTGTTTCCTTCTTGCGTGACGCATCCTGTCATAGACAACAAGGCCTTCCGTGAGAATTTCGCCAAAGGAATGGTGATGAAGAGTGCGTTAGGCTGAGGGAGAGTCGCCCAGGAGAGATGTGAGGGTGTGCCGAGACCTCACATTTTATGCAATGGCGGATATATTTGCAACTAACCTGGACCCTCTGACGAGGGTGACCACAGGGACACCAACCATCACCACTACCACCACCACCAGCATTTCACCGTTCACCACTACTACCATCACCACTACTACCACTATCACTACCACCAGCCCTCCGGAAAACAATACCACACCAGCCACTCCATTTGGAAATGATGGGTTTTGCAAGCTTATTTTGTACATGGAAATTGGGGACTCCAGGTAACATTGCAAGGCTGTTGTTGCACACATATGTGACACTTGTTTTGCATTGTGCACTATTCTGTGACTAAGCTGCCTTCTACAGTGTAAACATTTACAATAATTGGTTACACCAGTTTTGCATAGCTTACTTTTATTTCTGGATTTAAATAGATTAGAAAGTAAAATATTGTAGTGCAGATAGGCTGTGTTAACCTTGATATTGATGTGATTTGTGACAGCTGTTCCATTTTTGGATTATGTGAGGTAGCCTTACATTGATATTTCTACAGCTGTCATGTAGTGTATTTTGACACTTGTGATTCTGTGAAGGGCAAAAATTTCAATTTGAAAATGTGAAAGTGCCTGATAAAATCATACTTAGGCAAATTTTTTTTTTTTCCTGGGCCAGCTACTGTAATGCAATGAAACTTAATGGAAATAATGTATAAATATCTGAGGTTGTTCAGTTGAAGCGTAAAGTATCTGGCTCCTACAGGTTGAGTAGCTAAACACTCCAAAACAGTTTATGAACTTGTCATATAGAGCGCTTTCTATAACTACATGGTGATATATGGGGGAATATCTATAAAGAAAGACTTAATATTAAATCTTAAACTTTTATTAAATGTTTTTATTCGGGATTCTTGGGAAAATTTACCTATAGCTATAAACTTCTATATATTTCTCTTGGTTTTCAGACAGATGTAGCATCTTTATGCTGTTGTTGATAAAGGAGCTCAGTGCTGGGGCTGTATGAGTCTTTTTTCATTCTGGAACTTGGAATAAAAATTAAAACTAATAAATATATGACTTGCAGTCTATAGTAGATGGTTACCTTGAGGTTACCTTGAGGTGCTTCCGGGGCTTAGCGTCCCTGTGGCCCGGTCGTCGACCAGGCCTCCTGGTTGCTGGACTGATCAACCAGGCTGTTGGTTGATCAAGCTGTTGCCAACAGCCAACCAGGCTGTTGATGACCTGTAACAAAGATTCTGCAACTTTCTGGGCTTTCAGATGTAGCCAACAACTCTCCTCACACAAAGATAAACATGGGAAAACTAAATCTATCAATGCTTAATAACCCAAGAACAAATGTGCCAGAAGCATCACACCTAGGGAGTTGGATAAGACTGCCGTTCTTCAAATATCACTGTAGTCCGAAGTCAGCTAGGTTAGGAAAGCCTTGGTGGTCACTTGCCTTTATTGTAGTACATAGATTCAGTGACCCCATTGGAAAACTTATTAATTCAAGAACATAGTGTGCTAAGTATGTCATACCTAGAGAGTGGAAAAAGAATGCTTTTCTGCAAATATCAAAACCTGTCTAGGAAAACTTTGCAAGATGTGTTCTGATAACTCCAGGTAATCTGAAATCTTTTTTGTATCATAGGGAATAACAGTTTTCTCAGGAAAAGGTTTTCATATGAACTCAACATCTGATGTTTGTGACACAGCAGTGTCTTTTGAAGGTAGAGTTATGGTTTTCCTCCATGAAAGGTAAATGTACTGTTACATATTGTATTCTGAAATTTTGAGGAAAAAAACTTTTAAGTGATGAAGTCACTGTTGCAGGGTGCGTGTTTGGGACCTTTTGCTGCTGCTGCCGACGCTGCTTTTTCTCATTGGTCTTCTTGTCAAGATAAACAGTGCAAGACTCAAGTTACGTGCTGTACACAGCCCCATATATGCAACATTTTATGGCCTGGTTAGTGTAATGCTTTGTTTTATAGCTCATAATATATATGTTTTTCAGTTTGGTTGCCATAGTTATGAAAGTAATTTGGTTAGGTCAGGCTATTTCTTGAACAACAGAAATATTGAGCTGATTTCAGAAATAAATTGGCAGTAGCATTTTGTATTTTTATATGAAGATGGCACAATACCATTAAACTACGGCTGTTAGTTTTAAGACAATACAATTCACTTCTGTTACTAAATTAATAATCAAATTTTTCAGTCATATTTCTTATTGTTGCAGATTTGGCTTAACACACTGATATCAGTGGCAAGATGTGTGGTATCCATGACAGTTAATGCAGCTACTCCCTCTGGAGATGTGGCCAACAAATTATTGTACGTTATTGTACGGTTCTTTTTGCTGGCCACCGAGATGAGTGTTGTGGTTTTTGCCGTTTTTTTTGGTGAGTTTTTGGTGATATAGATGCAGAAATGAATAATTTATTGACAGACATTGTACTGTGAAACTCCGATAGAACTGACCAATTTACATTGTACCCATTCTGAATAATGAAGGTTCATGCCTGTTTCTGAAACTCTATTTACTGGTTTAAGGGTCTAGAAATTTCTGACTGGGTCTTCCTTAACCGAGTCTCAGAACTGGTTAAGTATTCAATTTTCGTGATCATATTTTGTTAAGAAGGTCCCTGGGGTTGGGGGTCTCATTGTGCAGAACTATAAATGGTGCATAAATAAGGTTGTTGTATTGTCATCTCTTTGTTCATATACTTAGGAAAGTGAGACAGAGGCAGTCATGTCTGCTTTTCATCTGAGGGGAAAAAAAGGGGAAGGTACTATCTTCTTCACTGTTCTCTGTATTTTATTTTAGAAGTTGTTCCTATGGAGCACTCCAAACTCTTTGTGTTTCTTCTCTTTCTAATTGAAAAAGTTATGCAGAGACGTATGACAACCTTGCCTTCTCGTGGAAAAGTTTCTTATTGGTGACCAACCTTTCATTTACATTGCGGTGATTCTAAGGATCAGTGTCCCGTGGCCTGGTCTATTCTAACCCGGCCCCCTGGTTGGTGGTCTGGTCAACCAGACTGTTGGACACAGCTGTTCGTTGGCCCTGATGTATGAATCACAGCCTGGTTGGTCAGGTATCCTTTGGAGGAGTTCATCGGGTACTCTTTTTGAACATTATCAAAAGTCGTCCAGTTATACCCCTTATGTGTAGCAGAATCATGTTGAAAATTCTTGGGACTTCGATATTGATAAGAGTTCTCTCTCACCGTATAAACCGATTTTGCACATCTTATCATGCCTTCTGGTCTCATGTGGTGGTGTTCTATTGTCTTTAAATTCACTACAGTACTTAGTTCAAATAGTAACAGTAATGGATTTTTTTGTGTAGGTATTTTATAAAAAGCCCCTTATTAGACACAGCATTTCTGACAAAGATTAATATAATTACAGTGTCATTTTTTGCATACATTAAAAGTTATTATATCCTAAACACACTGTATACTGTGTGAGTGTGTAATAAATAAAAGAATACATAAATAATGATACTCACTCACTTGTAGATGCATGTCAAGACAACTAAAAAGTGGAATTAACTAGGAGTGAAATGGTGGAGGTAAACAGCATTCATGAATTCAAAGGTTGATACGATGAAAGCCTAAAGGTTGGGGAACCAGTTCATCATTGAACTGCTGATTGAAAGATGAAACCCATGAACTGAAGCTTGATTCAATCTAATAAGCACAGATAGCTTCCTTAATGAGGTACTTGCCTATGATATTTTGTTACAGTAGAATCTTGAAAGTACAGTACAGAATTTGGATTGAAAATGTTAAGTGCAACTCTGTTCACATAATGTATGAATAACGGATAAATAACGGATAAATAATAAAAATCCTCTTTGTGAATGTTACAAAAAGGAAGACAATGCACCGTTGTTCTTTTTGTTCAGCATGATGAAGCTTTTTCCCAAAGAAAATATTTAAAGTAGAGAAATATGAAGAAATTGTGCAAAATAAACCACAAGTTTTCCAGTTTCTCAGGCTTGGCCTACAGTATGCAATGCAAACATAGTGTAAAGAGTTTTATTTAAACTTTTTTAAATTTTATCTCGAGGGTTCTCAAGGGTTAAATCCTTTAGGGCTTAATCCTCAAAAGTTTAGTAGAACTCCAGGTTACAATCCTTTTACCATGTTGTGGCCTGGTAAGGATGGACATAGACAACCATAGATTGGTTGTCTATGGCGTGTGTGTGTGCTTGGGAATACTCAGCGCATAGGTTTGAGTCCTTATCATGGCTCCTGTGGATATTCTCGTAAAGGGTTTCTTACTCGTGTGTTAGTGTGGGTCACAAACCAATGGGGTCTCTTACTCCTGTGTTAGTGCAAGTTACAAACCAATGTTTGTGTTTTTTCGACTTATGTTTCCGTCAAATTTGCCAATTACTTTTATCTTTATTTTCTGCCAAATATTTAAGGGAAATATAAATAACTGTGAATCAAATGATTTTTTAGATCTTTAAAATATATGTAGAGAAATAATGTACTTTAAATATTCCATTTGGAAATTGGTAAACTTTTAATAAGCTGAGCAAAGATATATTACTGTTTCTTTACTTAAGTTTGTGTATGAATGAATTTAGTAGGCCAGCCAAAGGCTTAGGGTCCACGCAGGAATATCCTTGCACAAAAAACACTCAAAAAAATGAGAATGTGGTACATAGGATATTAGATGCTGGTAGAAGGTTGTGTTGGTGACTGTGTTGTTCCGACAGGACATCTGGACAACAAGACCAGTATCAGGCGGGTGCTGGTCGTGACCTCCATGATTGCCCTGCCGTACTCCGTGGTTCAAGGGGCCCTCGAGGTCATGACTCCAGACCATGATTTTGATGTTCCTAGCAAGGACTATGAGCTGTTTGGTCATGGTGGCTCTCTCTTCTGGCTCATCTCTTCCATTATTTTCACATTGGTGAGTTTCAGTATATATATATATATATATATGTATGTATATATATTTAGTTTATATTTAGTTTATATTTAAACAGTACTACAGTAGTTTGTTTATGATAATTTAAAAGTCTGTCTCATTAATTAAACTTTGTAATACTAGTACATTACTGTATATTCAAATTCAGGTTACAAGGTCTCAAATAAGCAGTGTAAAACAAAACTAAGCCCTATATATATGCATGTACGTATAGTGTTTGTTAATGTGGTTTTTGTATGTATGTGTTATATCTATTAGGCAGAACTGCAGTACTAGTCCTTATAAACAAGATGCATTTTGCCTAACAGCCAGAGGGGCTTTGTACAATGTATTTTTGTAATTATTTCTTTCAAAATTTATCCACCCTTATTAATATACAGTTCCAACATGGGATCATGTTGGTCCCAGCTTCCAAATTAGATACATTCTGAAATGGCATTTGTAAGTTGGTTGTTCATGACTCGGAATCAGATATCCCATTGCCACAGTGCGCAATAAATATTGGATGCATTCCCAGACCATCAAAAATCAGCCTATGAAACTCTAAATTTTAAGGGAAGTAACATAAGAAACCCTTCTCTCTTGTACCTTGAGTGACGGAGGAAGGAGACAAAAAAAAAAAAAAGAGGTATAATTACTGGAGGAGAAGGCAGTTTGTGGTGATGCACGGGCACTGGTGCCCCTGTAGCAATCCATTTTCGTTACTCACCCCCCGTCACCTCGTTGGTCTTCCTCTCACCCTCTTCCTACTTTCCTAATGGTAAAATGCATGCGTATACATAAGACAATTGTGATTGCTATGAAATATTACTTATTTAAATTTATAACTTTTTTTTTTGTCCCTGATGTCTATGAAATGTAACTTAGAAAAGTGTGTTTGTGTGTGTGTGTGTGCAGTTTTCATAATATTATAAGTTATAACCTACATTACTATAAATCCAACATTATGTTTGTAAATCAACTATATATGTACTTTTCCTGAATAAAATTTTTTGAATTTAATTTAATTTACTAAAATGCATTCCAGATCTATTCTTTCATCTTGGTGTTGAGATTGGACTGGCTAAGGAAGCGCTTTCTGTTTCTCTTATGGATGCCAAGTAAGTCCTTGATTGTCTTACTTGCACAGGGAGATGTATATTAGATATATTTTCTTGGGGGGGAGGGGGTTAAATGAAAATGGAAGACCTTGGGTGTTAGTATCTATATGCTATATCTTATTTTAATTAGCCAGTGCCTCCTTTTTAATTAGCCAGTGTCTCATTTTCAATAGCCAGTGTCTTATTTTCATTAGCCAGTGTCTCATTTTCAATAGCCAGTGTCTCATTTTTAATAGCCAGTGTCACATTTTCATTAGCCAGTGTCTCATTTTCAATAGCCAGTGTCTCATTTTCAATAGCCAGTGTCACATTTTCATTAGCCAGTGTCTCATTTTCAATAGCCAGTGTCTCATTTTCAATAGCCAGTGTCTCATTTTCAATAGCCAGTGTCGCATTTTCAATAGCCAGTGTCTTATTTTCAATACCCAGTGTTTCATTTTTATTGACATCCTATACATACACTTGTTGTGTTATTCAGTGCAAAGAGTATGTACTAGACTGAGGGTTTTTTCAGAATACATTCGTTGCTGATAGTGAGGGCAGACTATATATCTTCTACATTTTTCTGGGTGTTGGTGAACCTGTTTGAATTTTATAACAAACCAGCTGGAACATAGGTTTACTCTGGAGACTAGTGGTAAACTGAATTGAAGTAATACTGCCTCTTTAGAGAGAGTCGAAATGGAACACTTGGATTGTTGCTGACCAATATGGTAACTGCTAATGAATTGTGCCGTATGTGATGAAACATCAGCGAGAGCAGGCGATGAGTCACAATAACGTGGCTAAAGTATGTTGACCAGACCACACACTAGAAGGTGAAGGGACAAAATCGACTTAAGAATGGTCCAGGACGGACCGAAACTTCGTCGTCCCTTCATCTTCTAGCGTGTGGTCTTGTTAACATCAGCGAGAGCTTCTAAAATTACATTAGAAATGCAATTTCTAATGTATATGTATGTTGGGAAATGTGCAGGGTTTAGTGCATCCTATATTGGGTGAGAAAAACATTAAAGTTTCCTTAGGATGACAAGGAAAGTACAGATAGTGAAAGTAAAGTTTTTGAAAATTGTGTTGCTAAAGTAGTTGTTAGAATGAAAATTTGAGAGTTGAGGCAAGTACCATACTGTGTTTAGAAAAAAAAAAACATTAGGGAGATAAAATATTTCTGAAGTACTGTATTGACAATGAAGATAAGTTGTTCTGAAATTTAAGTTGACAATAAAGTATCAAGCACAGGAATTAAGACAAGACTTGCTATTGAGGCGTGAGTTTAAGGACAGTTAGGAGACACCACCTTACTAGACAGTAAAGAGCATCTTTTCAAGATAAATAGAAATAATTAAAGAGAAAAATTATTCCTGCTGGTGAATTGATTGTAAATACTGTGCTGCTAAAATGTTGTCATGTATTGTGTGATGTCTCTTTTTTTTCTTAATCTTTCAGTGAAGCGTGCATCTAGTGTATATAATTTTCCTACCCTTTCAGGGGGAGTGTACATTTTGTATCTCTTTCCTACTCTTTCAGTGAAGCGTGCATTTAGTGTGTGTCATTTTCCTACCCTTTCAGGGGAGTGTACATTTTTTATGTATCTTTTTCTTACTCTTTCAGTGAAGCGTGCATTTTATGTGTACCTAGGATTCTTAGCAGTACTGAATTTGATTCAGAGTATCGGGAGTGGTCTCTATCACATTCACGAGGCTGCTGGTCTCTGTCTCGTCAATGCTACCACTTGGACCTACTTCTCTCTCCTCACTCCTCTAATCTACTATACTTTTATATCAGAATTCTTTGGGTAAGTATCAGAATAGTTTTTATAAATTCAATGAGTATATATACCCAGCCTGTAAATCTGAAAATGAAGGACGTGACAATCTTTGTTTTGTTCCTTCCTGGACCTTTTATCAAGTTGTGGTAAGGGTCAAAGATGCATCAAAATGTTGTCACTTCCTTCATTTTAAGATTTGTGGGTTGGGTGTCTAAATTTTCAGCCACATTATTGTGACTTAAATTTTGCATTTGTCCCTATATTTACTAATATTATATATCACTCAATAAATCCAAGAAATAGAGCTTATATTTGCAATTTTGGTTAAGTATTATTTTAATTATAAAACCCTATTCATGGTATTATTCATAGTTCTGCATGTGTTTTGTGAACAATAGTCGATTATTGATGCAGGAAAAGTTTATTTTACCTTGAAAGTAAAATCATATGTCACAGCTGAACGGTACAATGGCTGGAAAACAAATACTGCAACTGCATTGTAAAAAATGTGCTTGGTGGAGTTTCGTATGAAATGTATTACACTACGTTTTCGTTGCAGTAAGATCAAAGTCAGGCACTTGCGTTGGTTAATGGTCTAAATACATTTAGTATGTTTTAAAATGTAGGCTTCAGTATCGAGTATGTTATTGTACTGTATTGTATTTAATTTGTAGGTTACATAATCAATAGCCATTTTGACTTGTCATAAAAAAGACTTTTCTTCTTTTATGCAGCCAGAAGAGTCGTGAGCAAGTAGAGAATATTGTCTTCTCTTATAAATCAGAAGATGACGACGACACCACTTCGTTACCTCTTCCGGGAACTGAATTTCCCCAGCAGAATATATATCAGGTAGATATGAAATACAAATTTAGTCCATTATCTGAAATACTCTCAGCTGTCCTCCCAAAATATGGGTGCATATTTTTTCCAAATACAGTAAATTACATGCTGTATGTAGAGGAGTAATCCTGGGAGAATTTCATCATAGAGTGAGGTTAATTTCAAAGATAATAGTTACCTCTGTGGGTTTGATCCCATCGTATGGCATCTCATCTTTGTCCATTCGGAAATGCGTGTATCTTAAGAGTACAGGGATGCAAGTACTATTCAATCACATCATACTGCCTATTATCATGGGCCACTCAGTACTGAGTGTACCTGAGGAGTTCAGGAATGCAGGTTCAATCCCATTGTATGCCCTCAATCTTTTCTCATAGATGCACAATGTCCTGGCAGTTTCATTGTTTATTATTTTATAATGTAACATTCTTTAAAGAGAGTTGTAATTTTTCTTTGAGGCTATGAAAAGTGGTTACATCTGGCCAAGACTTGCTAAATCAGATGATACCCATGTATGTGTGCATAGACAGACAGTGCCCATAATTCAGTGCAGGGACTTGATATCACTGACCTGTTGAGAACTTTTAGAATACTGTAGGGTTTAACACTTTTTTGCGAGTAATGCATTTGTATCCCTCACTGTGTCCTCTTTTTTTCCTCTTCTAAGAAGTTGCAAAAATTACAACAATTTTGTGTGCATTTATTCATCTGATTACCCATCCTAGGGGTCAAAGTGCAAAGACAAAGAGTTGCTCCCATATTATTTAATAATAATAATATTATTGCAGTATTATATTATATATACTGTAATATAATTAGACCCTATGACAAAGATCAAACTCTCTGCCTAACTGTTTACTGATGTGCAATACTACCAGATGGTAAATAACATGATAATTCTGCTATAGCTCATACATTAGAGCTTTTCATAAAATTAATATTCTTCAAAGAAAAATGCAGAAAATATGTACCTACACAGTTGAAAGTAATTTATTTATCTTATTACAATAAAAAGTGTCAAAACTATAACATATCTGTCCCCCCCCCTCTGGTACTCTTATCAGCTGCTAATAATCTAAATACATTGGTACTGTTTCCAGATAGAAACATGCCAATCAAAGGTGGCAATAGTAGTGCCTTTTATGTAATACTCCCACAGCCATTGTTGAACTAAGTCCACTGGGGCATATATCTGCCAGTCCTCATGAGGGCCGTTCCACTGGTGGTGGTCTGTCTTCAGGAAAGAGCCAAGTCATACGTTATGTTGCCTACTTAGATCATAGTAGATGAGAATTGTATGATCAAGATTCATTACGATGATAGATACCCCAGTTTTCTTATTTAATTATCCACAGTTGTCGGGCAATGTTGACTTTTAATCTCTAGGGATAAATAAGGGGTTGTAAAATATAGAGTTGGCTACACTCTTTTATCTAAAACTAATTTTGCCCTCAAATTTATTCACATGACTTAGACTTAGTGAGGTGGGGGAGAGGGGGGGTTAGCACATTCTGGCGTCCCACAAAAATTGGCTTACCAGTACTGAACATTGAATTTGTGGAATGCTGATGTGTTTTATTATTGTGTGCTTGAAGGAGACTCCATTGGCTCCCATATTTGTTTATAGTGTGCAGAGAGAAATAGCAGCTAGGACTGTGCTGTATGACACTTTCAGGTGGGCAGTCTTTGGCCTCCCCCCTTCCCCCATTAATTATATATAATGGAAGGAAAACTACAGAAGAAATTAGTAATATAGAATAAACTAGTATTGTTTCGGTACATTAATAGGACAATTTTGTTGCCATCAGGCAAGTGGTGCTCCCTACAGCAGCTTGTCTGAAGAGGTAACTGGTGAGGGCCAGACCCCAGTGAACCCCCTCTACACCGCTTCCCTCCAAAGTCCAGACTCCATCACTGGCTACTCCATTAACTCCGTCGATGATATTACCATCAATGCATACAACAAGTCTCAAATGCAGTGAATTGGTAATAATAAGTAAGCACTTGTAAAATTAAGTTCATGAGAGAGAGAGAGAGTGAATTTATGCTGTCAGATTTGTCTGTAAGTGCACTGTTAAACATGTTACATGATAAAATTGTAGGTACTTACTCTTAACACAAAGTACTAATAAAATGCACATTATATGCAGCCCAGCTCTCGACCCATATACTGTATGCACATTTTACAAAAGATGAAAATGAAGTGGGCCATATGATGCGTACACAAACACCTGCAAACATTAGTGCACACACATGCACACATTGAATGTTAAAATGTGAATGCACAGTAAATGTGCAAGCGACCCTATTGTAACATTGTTTAACGTTCCCTTTCTTTATTAAAATGAAGGGACTACTTTTTCTTCCATCCATAAAATGTACACTGTGAGGGGTATTTATTTTCCCTAATACTCAGGAATATATAGTGCTGTAGTATGCTAGTGTTTGAAATTACCCACAGAGTTAATGAGTATATTAATGCCAATTTTCATTTTATTTGAATTAAACAAACATTATTCACCTGGTGTGTTTTTGATGTATTTATTAATAATAATCATATCTAGTATTCTGAGTATGGAACTGAAAGAGCACCTTGGTAGAAAATTTGAAGACCTAACGGTGATCTTAACAGGACCTTCTTAAAGCTTGTTCAAATATTCTCAATTCGGATAATGTAATGTACAGTATATCAGTAGTTTGTTGTAAATGACCATTCTTTCTAAGAGTCACATTGCCCCAAATACAGTATTAGTCTGAATACAGAGAATACGAATTATCTCAAGTTTAATTCTGCCTTTTGAACGTTTAATAGTTTGTTTAACCTACTCACAATTGAGTTTTGATGTTATTGAATGATGGAAAGTGGCACAGACCCAATTTAGTAGTTTTGTTTCATTTTAGAAATAAAGGTGTTGGTTTTACAGTGATGCTTTTGAAGGTAGATCACATTCAGTGGAGCAGAGAACAGTGGTAAGGTTGCACGTACATTATGGGGTTGGTGGTGTGTCTTTGCTCAATTCAATCCCATCTGGATTTGTCGATTTTGCAGGAATGTCCCTGACTTCTGTTTGGCTCATGTCACTGTTGGACTGATGGATTGTCTTTTTTTTTTTTTTTTTTTTTTTTTTTTTTTTTTTTTTTTTTTTTTTACTGCTTTGTGGACTTTTGGTTCAGAGAATGTGGTGTCCATCTCCTGTTTTGTGCATTTTCTTTTGAGTTGGATCAAAAATAGTTTCTGGTTTTCAGACTCTTTTTCTTCGTCAGGGATTTCTGAGGTGTCCTTGGGTGCTTTTCTGAGGTGTCCTTGGTTGTTTTTCTGCAGATGTGTGGCCATCTTGTTTCTTCCAAATTTTGTCTGGGCTTTCATCCCTGTGGTTTGTTCCCTCCCCCCCCCTTAGAATTCTGTTTCCTGTTGGGTACATAGCATCTCTGCAGTGAACTTTGTTCTTTCTACCTGGATTGGGACCCCCATGGAGTTTTTGCCTCTTTGGCAGGGTCTTTGTTATCTGCCACTGAGCTCTTGGCTGCCTTTTCCCTGTTTGTTCTAGCCTGCTATTTGGGCTGGTACCCTGTTGGTCTTTTCATCTGTGGAGTGTTTTTTCTTTGTGGGGGAGGGGGGGGGAGGTCTTGGCCATATTGTCTAGTGGTCTTTTATGTGCTTTGTGTTTCTGCTGTCCACTAAAGTGTTGGCCAATCATTCCTTGTTGCTGCTTTTGCATTATTGTTGTGCTTCTATCTTGAGGTTATCTTGAGATGATTTTGGGGCTTTTTAGTGTCCCCGCGGCCCGGTCCTCGACCAGGCCTCCACCCCCTAGGAAGCAGCCCGTGACAGCTGACTAACACCCAGGTACCTATTTTACTGCTAGGTAACAGGGGCATAGGGTGAAAGAAACTCTGCCCATTGTTTCTCGCCGGCGCCTAGGATCGAACCCAGGACCACAGGATCACAAGTCCAGCGTGCTGTCCGCTCGGCCGACCGGCTCCCCTTGATTGTGTGTGGGTTTGAAGAGGGTTTGTGCCACTACTGCTCCTTTTCCCTGAGCTCTTTGTCTTTTACCTTCCAAGGACCAGCCATTTTTGTTCCTCCCCTAATACTATGTTCCTTTTCAGCAAAGTCTTTTTTTCTTTGCATGGTAAGCACTGGGAAGCTACTAAGAGGGCTAGCAAAGAACTAGAGAGTTAAGTGTAATGAAACTGCATTTTCTATGCAACACCTCATTCCTACCCTCTTTTTTTTCTTTTCTTTCTTTCCCATGAAGTTGGGCTCATTTTGTGTACATGATGAAGGGTAAGGGACTTGGAATACCATTTGGTGGCTGTCGGGTGAATTGCAGCGAGAGGAAGTTACTTGCTGCCAACTATCATTCTTAATTTTTATTTCTTATTAAGAGCAGTGCCCTTTTTTTGTCTTGTTTTGCCTATAACATTCAGGGCAGTTTCCTAGGTTTGGGTTGATCTTCAATTCCTAAGTGCGAGCTAGGCTCTTGAGTCTATACTTGAGGGCCTGGTATGTTTTTGGAGGCTCTTGGGTACCAGACTCTCAGACTCTTAAACACTGGGGAGCAACTTTGGAGTCCCATGGAAATTTGCATTTCATTACATTCAATGTTCTGTTTTTATTTGAGTTACACTAATGTTAAATTTAGAAATACTTGGAGACTGATATGCTGTGACTCAATGTTGTTTTGTAAGGTTTTGTTTGCAACTGTAGGGATATATGTGTGTGTGTGTGTGTGTGTGTGTGTGTGTGTGTGTGTGTATGTGTGTGTGTGTGTGTGTGTGTATGCGCGTGCATGCCTGCAAAATTACACACATGCATGGTATCTTGTGTATACATTGTACGGTATATAATTTTTTCCCTTTTTCAGGACTAGATGAGGAAGTACAATTCTGTAGGAGCAGGACAAAAATAATCTTCTGTGGCATTTTTTGTACAGTGTAGCATTGTTCTTTTTGTGTGAAATAAGTTTGTGATTCTGTACAAATCAGAACTCAGATATTGACAACATCACTACCAGAGTTACCAAGGTTTTATATTTTTTAATATTTGTGAATAGTTTGGTCTATTTTGGTATTTAATCATAACTGTATGAACTTCATGAAACAAAGTTTGTGAATGGAAACTTCCAACACATTTATCGTACATTGTGTTTTATAGAGTGTAGCATATTTCCATATCAGATATTCAAATTGTGTTGCAAGCATGAGGGTACAGAAACGAGGTAAATGAGTGTACTGTGTGTGTGTGTGTGTGTGTGTGTGTGTGTGTGTGTGTGTGTGTGTGTGTGTGTGTGTGTGTGTGTGTGTGCGCGCGTGCGCGCATGTGTGTGCTCACCGAGTTGTGCTTGTGGGAATTAAGCTCTGACTCTTTGGTTGGGGGGTCTGGCTCTTTCTGTGTGTATCAAAGTGTGCATGTATATTCAAAGATAGATTTATGGTGTTTGAGAACAAAACATTAGGCCTTTGGGATCTTGATGGAAAGTGGAAATTCTGCCTTTGGGATCTTATGCTGGAAGCTGCATTATTGTTTTTGCCAACATTTTTAAGCTTGCTCTTTCACCTTGAATTTCACCTTTTGTTATATACAAGCCACTACCATCTGTCGGTTTACTTTTCCCACATTCCCCTTTATTGTCTCCTTCCCCACTTCCCCTTCTTCTCTTACGTCCTTCCCTGTTCCTTTCTTAAACACGTCCTCCATTGGTCCCCTCTTCCCTTCTTACTACATCATCCTATTGTTCCTCTCTTACCACATTGACCTCTATTTACATGGAACTCTCCTTGTACAGATTCTGTGTAATTTTGCTCGTCTTAATGAAGAATAAGTTGTCTCAAGTTGCCCTCTTTATCTGCTGGCCGAGGGCTTCTCTTAAGTATTTTGCAGAGTGGTTGTAATGTGTCAAGACTGCCAAAGAAAGAAGCGCTGGCAGCAAGATGCTGATTGTCTCTGTGTAGTTTGTGTTAATAGGGCAAGTGTGCACAATCCACAAAAAAGAGAGAGAGAGTGAGAGAGAGAGTGAGGGAGAGAGTGAGAGAGAGAGAGAGAGAGAGAGTGAGAGAGAGTGAGAGAGAGAGAGAGTGAGAGAGAGAGAGAGAGAGAGAGAGAGAGAGAGAGAGAGAGAGAGAGAGAGAGAGAGAGAGAGTGTGTGTGTGTGTGTGTGTGTGTGTGTGTGTGTGTGTGTGTGTGTGTGTGTGTGTGTGTGTGTGTGTGTGTGTGTGTGTGTGCGCGCATGCTTGTTTTAATATGCTTGCATGTCATATTTATGGGTATTTGTAAATACTGTAATATATATATATATCACCTCATTTATTTGTTTGAAATTGACCTAAGCTGTTATAACCTGTCTGTGTTTTGTTTATGCATAAGGGAATAATAGTTATTAGAGCACCAGTTATTAGAATGAGAGAGATAAACATGGCTATAAATATTTCTCTAAATATTCCTGAAGGTAACTAGAAGGTATTAGAATGTGGAAACCAATTTGTGTCAAGAGTATGGCATTACCTTGCTCATTGTACTCTTGCATACTTTCTGCAAAAGTGTGGCATTATTATTGGTTGAAATGCCACCAAAGGAGCATTAATGAAAAATGCCTCAAAACATAAAAGCACTTCCTCAGCTGCTCGAGTTTAACTTTTGTTGCTTTAGGGCGTTACTATAGACATTTTAGCCTTTGTATTCCCAAAACTTTCCAAGTGTAAGTAATGAATTATATGACATAGCTATACCTATTTTGATTTTCAGCATGTCAGATTAAAGACAGCTCATTTGTGTAAAGATTATATAATGTTTAGGATGCTTTAACCTATGCTCTAATTTATTATGTGTGGCTAAACTTGTTTATTTTGAATATATAAAACCACTGGTAGATTATGTTGTCAAATGATATCCATACTCTGTAAACAAAAATTTATAAGTGGCATTATGCTGTTTAAATTGCGTTACCATCGGTAGGAGATCACACATCTTGAGTCGACTCCTTTGACGTCACTCGTCTTTCTGCTATCGTATTGGAATCTCAAGTGATTTATAGGAGCTTAAATATTCTGTAACACAGATAGTGCTTCTTAGCCAATATGAGCTTGGCACCTTCTGCTGACAATTACTTAGTTGTTTTCGAGTTGACTTACTGGATACTTACGAGTTTTGTCATGCCGGGTCTTGGTCAGGTAATGTTTGATTTGGTTATCTTTGCAATGATTAAAAATCACTGCATTTTGTTTTTCTAAGAGTAACTAGAATGGAACTTGGCATTATGATAATTTGTCCATGTTAGGCATCATTAAGAAAACAAAGCAAAGGTCACATGGAAAATGTAAAATTTGTTAAAGTTTTGAAAACTTAAAACAGATTTAAAATTATTTTTTATGTACTATTATTAATTTTTTTTTTGTGTGTGTATGCTACTTACAATGATAATACTGTAGTAGGATAGCTCCTAAGGAAATGAATAAGGTGTAAATAATAAATTTGAAATTTTAACTAGCAATCAAGCGCTAAGACCTTTTCATACAAATACCAAGCTGTAATTAGTGATAGATCTGCACTACATGTAAGCTTGTAGTGTAGTTCTCTGCATGGATGCTTCCCGAAAAAGGGCCTTGGTCACACGATACCAAAGAGAGAGGTAGCCTCGTACAGACTTATCTCCATATTTTACGTACTCTATGTATTTTAGTCGTAAGTAATTTCAGGTTTATGCTGTATTTTGATGCGTTATGTTGAAAGGTTGAAGCCCAAGTACTTGATATTTTTACTAATTTATTTTGTCAGTGCTAATACTTTAGTAATCAGAGTTTCAAAATGTTTGGCTGCTTGTATATGTAGTTGCATGGAATTAAGCTGTGGCAGTATTAAATACATTTGAATTTTTTGTTTAATGTTTTATTTTCACAAATAAAACACACACACACACTCTAGTTCACTTATAAACAGAATTGTGTAGGCACATTTGTGTATGGTATATTTGAGGGGGTGAAAGTACCCATAGACACATGATATGCTATGGCAAAATTGAAGAATAAATGATATATAAGCATATTTCAGCATTGGCAACTGATAGAATCATAGCGAGTGTATGATGTGGGTGCTGAGCCTTCATGATGCGTGGTGGCAGATATCATTGTATATCCATAAACTATCTAGTAAATTTTAAATTCATTTTATTGTTCTAGTTCTATGAAAACATGTAAATGGAAAAAGATTACATGCTTGAGTCTTATAAAATTCAGTTTAAAATTGCCTTTAGTTTTTAAATGAGAATTTACTTTAAAACTGAACAAAATATATACTGTAAATACATAAACTTGTAGGTTTTTCATGCACTATTTAAGCATGATGCTCTAAGTGGCCATGTTTATGAAATGGTATAAAATAGATTGTATAAGAAACTGTTAAAACTTTTAAAGATGAAATATATTGTGTGTATATATATATATATGCATTGACAGGGTCTTCTTTTGTAATCGGCAACCTTTTATTGGTGCATTGTAGGGTCCAGTTTGGCACCGTGTTCTCCTAACTTTGGGCTAGGTAACACTGAAATAATACAAGTTTCTGGTGCTGCACCATTGCCCTACTAATGCACAATGAAGTGTTGAGTCTTGTGATAATATTCATACCCAGCCTTGTTTGGCATTTTCATTTCATAGATTCTTAAGTTGCTGAATTGTGAAACGGTGTATAGTTTTCAAAACTGTATATTGTGTATTGGTCAGTGCAGTCGGATCATGGCTGAAAGGTATACCCGGTTCACCTAGGAGTTGGGCAACTGTTGTGGGGTTACATCCTTTGGAAGGTCAGTAGTTGGTCTGATTAACGGGCGAGACCTCGAGAAGTCTTAACAGGCTTCCAACTCTGGGAAATAACAACTTAAAGCATTTTTCTTAAGTATTTGTATTTTCTGCAAATTTTCCGGTTTAAAGAACACGATGTAAAGAACCCATGCAGTGATCAGTTCTAAGGCTAACTTTTTTTTTTTTTAATACAGTATACTACAGTAGCTGTGTTCATATTCAACTTACAATTTTTTATATTGTAGTGTTGCCATTTTGCTTGCATTATCAACACTAACTTGTAATTAGTAAATAAGTACACTTATGGTACTTATATTTTGATACTGTAAATGTTGAGTTATTATACATTCCAAAGTTGGCCAAGTAATTGGTTCAGATAGAAACCCAAATGTGTCCTCCAAAAATGATAGCACATAAAACAATTATTGATTAAGTGTACAAAAATTAACTGTTGCGCCCAGAAATGTTTACGTTTTATACCATTAATTATGTAGAGGGCATGAGAAAGGTGGTAGTAAACAACCCGAAACTTTCCTAGGTCTGGTATAGCACATTTGTGTTCTAAATTAGGCCTAAGGTGGTGTATAGTAGGCCAAGGATTGTTTATTCTAGGACTTGTACTGCTTAAATTGTGTAGTTACTGTTCCACTTCTTAGTCTGCCTTTTGGAGTATTCCAAAAGTAAATAACATGACCATTCTTGGATACAGCAGGTTTTTTTTTTTTTTTTGTATGTTGGACCAATAGTGGCTATAAGTACAGTACTATTATTTTTGGAGGATTTGTTGTTGAAAACTACATAAAAATGCTTCTAATACCAAACAATTATTTTAAGACACTTTATGCTAGGGTTTCAACATACAGTAATTTAAAACAAAACGGTTTTAAGTTTATAATAAGAGCTTGTAATTTTTCATTTGTGCACGGCTGTTGGGTATAGAAAATACTCAGTTTTTTATATCTTGATTAATTTCTTCCATTTACCTTGCACTCCATTGACAGAATCTTGAAGACCTCTATAAAAGTGAGACTTTCACAGTTATCTTGCACAACAGACTTTTTACTCAACCTCTTTACTTTTCCTGGGTGGCATTTTGATAGAGCAGACTGGAAATTTTGTGCAACTATTACCTGTATTCACTACACGTCTTTCCTTCCCATTCCTAAATTCTGTTTCTTTTTAACATCCGCTCCGAGGACATTATCAGGTGGGGAGTTTAACAGGGGCAGTACATCTGTCAAATAATAATGCAGGTGGTCCAAGGCCAACTAGGCTTTGTCCAAAATTATGGCTTTGCAAATTAAGTTTAAATTAGCAATATAAGACTTAACATGTATCTAATTATATTAGCCTTAATACACTCCACTATATAC